TAGCAAAGATTTTAAGAAGAGCACAACAACTCCCAAACCTTTCGTAGAAGAGTTCGAGCTGAAGTATACTTCCTACGATTCAAGCATTATTTGTGAAATTATAACCAATGTAAAAGCATAATTGTAAACTTTAAAGCAGCACCTAGGTCACTCTGAAAAATTTCTTTTAAGAAAACCTAGTACTCTGGAAGGTATTGGGAACAATTTCAAAAAATAACTATATTCAAAGCAGAAATTTTAGCCGATTTTAAACTTTTGTTCAAAGAAAACGGAACTGCAGTACCAACTGCTTAAAAACTTGCCAGACAAAAGCACGTAGAGGCAAAGGCGTGCACAGACGAAAGACGTCAGTCAACATAATATTGGAACTTGAAACAAATCACAATATACACCAATCTATTTCAGTATATCTGAATGCAATACGTAGGAAAATGCATATTGCGAAATTTACATAATCAGTTTGTATAACGAAATTAAGTTGAAAACTTCATGTTATGCTGCTTGTGTTAAAGCATTGCAAATGGAATCTGTAAATTTGTGTTAACTGCATCTGTAATGTGTGTAAATATAACTGTATTTAATAAAAATGGGCTTACCAGTAAACTTCTGACGGTAAGAACAACAACCTTTTGTTACTTCTCCGGATTCTCACGGCACTGTCGTACCGTCTTTTTGCCATTTAAACATGCAATGGCTCTATGTATAATTAGTACACGGGCGTGAAACAGCGCAAGGTGAATTTTTATTATATATGTCTATGGATCGACGTGTGTAGGTTGACACTCGAACATGTTTCTGTTCGAGCCAACAAGTAGTGACGCTTTATTCTGGTGGGCAACAGGTGCTAAAACATGATGGTATCGTAGCCTGCATAAATTCTCCCTTAGGCTACTATAAAAAAGATACTGCAATTAATACGTGTGAATCCGGATTTCAAAATTAAAAATCTGTTCATGTATGGGCAAATTTTTCGAAGTACCGCTGCTGTGCGATGCTGAGAAAGAACTACGCATTTAACGGTGGTATGCACTAATGAAAACGCCTGAAGCATACCTTTGTCGATGAGGGATGAATAAAGGCAGGCGTCCTTAGAGGAGGAGGAAGCGGCTGAAGCTCGGTCGTCGATACGGTCTCTGATAAGCGTCTGCAGGTGGGCGACTTCGTTCTACAACAGAAGAGTAGATCACCAATGAGGAACATAAGAATAATAATGCAGAAAAAACGCTAAACCAAACGCCTCTAACTGACCTGGGCATAACGCAGCTGCTGCTCCCGCTCAAGCTTATCTCGCTCAAGCGATGCCGTTCTCAGCTTAAGCTTCGAAATTTCGGCTATCATGTCCAGTTTATTTGTCTCCAAAGTGCTGCGAGTCACCAGCTCCTAAGCCAACGACAAATTAAAAACATTAGCTCAAAAAGTAACAGTACTGATTTCAAAATGGGGTACCTCGTGAAGCATCTCCTCAGTGGAGTCAAGTTTTGACTTTTTGTCCTGTAACATCATTTCCAGATCTTTGATCTTCTCCGTTTGTGCACCAACTTGTTCGGCCAACACAGACACCTGCAACGACAGACTTTCACGGTCGTTTTCCAAGCGCTGTAGTTTATCCTGGATGTCGCCGTATTCGGGACA